TCTCTCTCTCTCTCTCTCTCTCTCTCTCTGTCTCTGTCTCTGTCTCTGTCTCTGTCTCTGTCTCTGTCTCCCTCCCTCCCTCTGTAGGGATGGTGGAAGTAAAGACATTTTAATTGTATCACATTTCTTCACTATGGAATAGCTGGTAATCATCCATTCTCCAAAACAAATGACCTTTTTTACTCCTTTGATCTCCTGAACCTCTACTTCTTTAACCCTGGTGTTTTCAACCAGCAATACATGAAGAAGTTACCACCTTCCCTCTGCATCATAATGGGAGGGGAAAACATGTTCCATGGAAAAAAGTATAATCTAATTTTCCCAAGATGTTGCACTCTTATTTATGGAGTTTGCAAAGAACAAAAAATTATATATATTTTAGCTTAAGGTTTGCTGCCAGGCTTTTATGAACGAGAAAAGACTTTGGATATCTCTCTGAAGATTGTTTTTCTATAACTGGTAACAGCCAAAAAAAAAAAGAGAGAGAGAGAGAGAGAGAGAGAGAGAGAGAGAGAGAGTGTTCAAATAGTAAAATTGGTAATCTTATCTCCTATGTGGCAGAATAGGAAAGATCAGCTTGCTTAAAGACTTTTCTGAGCAAACCCATGTGATCTAGAACAGGGGTCTCCAACCTTGGCTGGCAGGGGAATTCTGGGAGTTGAAGTCCGTCAGGCTTAAAGTTGACAAGTTTGGAGACCCCTGATCTATAAAACAGCGGTATTTTAAACCAAAGTAAAGAAAGTCCATAGCTCTGAATAATAATACATGAGCATTAAGGACTGTGTCTCTACCTTTTCATAGTTTAACTTCATTTTCAATATGTATAAAATGAAAACGTGTTTTCCACAATGCCATCTACGTGCCCAAATTATTCGTTTTGTATTCACCCTTGGCTGTTCATTTGCATTATTTTAGGCTGAATTTCTGGACTTCACTGTCATCATTGAAATAGGCTTTTAGATATGATCAATAGATATCAATCTAACAGGCTAGATGATCTGCCATAGAAAAATTCATAGTCAAAATAAGTGGTCACATTCAATTTTTTAGATCTTTTCTTTCTTTTCTTTTCTGAAAATTCTAAAATTGGGAAATCTTTGATTTAAAGGAAAACTCAAAGCTTCTATACATCAATTGACTCAGCAAAGCACAGATTTTTGAGACTAATGATATATTGAATGAATACATACATCATGCTAAGCTGTTCTGTGGTTTGTTTGCTTTTGGTTTAGGGTGCTGAATAATTGTGGTTTATTCAGTAACTCTCCGCCATAGCTCAATCCACTGTCGGTTATTCTTAAGAGATATTCTTCTATGTTGTAAGTACTTACATGTATGCCCAATTTGATTTGCATTTTTGTCCACTTTGCCCTTAAATGAAAAGTTGAGTAAAGCTAAAGACCACAAGAAATTATATCTTTAAAATAAAAATTAAAGAAACTTCTGTATTTAGAAAAACAGCAAACTAAACTCACCATGAATTGGTGATTATATAAAAAGCAAACCAGTTGAGAACTCTTTAAATGCCCACATATATTGGGTTTGCTTCTGGTTCAAGGTTTGGATTTTTCAGTCTCAAAGAAACTTTGCAAGAGGCTAGTCTGAATTAAATATTTTAAACATAAAGGTGAATCCAATTTTACTAGTGTATCTTCAGTAACAGTAACACTTCTGTCTGGTAGAAGAATAAGATTGGGGTCCCAAAAGAGATCTGCCTATGCAAATCTATTTACCCTTTCCTTTAACCAAAGATGTTTTTTTATACTAAAATACAATATATAAAACACATGCATATGATAGCATATTAATAGAAGGCCTTTTACGTGCACTTGTTAAGGCTGCTTGGGTAACAGAAGGCTATGTATATCATGCATTAGTCAAGTCTTTCATTATTTATTCAGGTTGACTAAGTGAAACTACATCCCAGCATTTTCTGTACTGCCTCTTTAACCTACTAAAATGATTGATCCATGTTCACTTATGTAACTGTAGAATCTTTCTCCAGCTAGGTTTTCCTGTTGTCTGTTTCTCTCTATCCAATTTTGTGCAGTTCTTATTCTCCCTGTGTTTAACATCTGTTAACTAATTTAATCTTCGCCTAATAGTCAATTTGTGTTAATCTTCTTTTTTTTTCCCTTGCACTTTTTTTTTCATTTTTCTTCCGATGCTTGAAATAGAAGTGGAGCAAAAAGGTAAATAACATATATAGTCCAAACCCCTCAGCTCCTTGTTATGTGCCTTATGGATGTTGACCTTCTCCCCTTCCCCTTTCCCATAACACTCTGAGATTGTAATAATCAGCAGGATTTCATACGTATCCTTCCTTAAAGAAGTTGATTTTGCAATTTTGCAATAAACTGACTTCGCTGCTAAACTGACTCAGCTATTTAAAAGCAGGTGGTGGGATTTAGTATCTGATGGCACCTGCTCTGAGATGAAGACTCCTGTTGCTTTCTTCCTCCCTCTCTTTTTCTTTCCCTGTCTTTCTCTTACCCATGACGACTATTCGTTAATAAAAATATCATCTTGCTTGGCTTTCCAGAACCCTCTCCATAGCATGCCATAATTACAGGGTTCCTGGTCTGTTCCATCCATTGCTTTGGTTGCTCTTTTATTTCTGTTGCTCTTGATGAAGGTCTATGGATCTGATGTTTTAATTTTAATTTTTCCCCCTTGTATGTCGAAGCAGCTTTATTTTCAATCTGAGGTTTTCTGAATGTTTCTTGAAAATGTTAAGAATTAAAAACATCTACCGATCAATTGAACTGCTACACATCAATTAGAACTTCGGGAGAATAAATGCTCTTATACAAGGATAGTTCTATTTTTCCAGATTTAGTAATATGCCATAGAACCTTGGATTGTTGTCAGAGGAAAGACTGCAGGTACTGGTTAGTACTGTAACTTTTAAAAACCATGATGACGGAGGTTAATACATGTATTAATTACATATGAACTATAAGGCATTATTGTTAGTTAAAGGGTTTTGTTTCTTTAAAAAAGTAGTGTGCTTGCCTAGACTTTATGGATATTGTGAATTTTATTCATATGTTTTTTAATCAGTCTTGTCTTGCTTCTTTCTGTGACTACCAGTTTTTGTTTGCCCTGGGACGTTGAAAGCTGTGGTGGATTCCCCAAATTTATATGAAACTGAACAAAAGGCAGGTGCGTGGTGCAAAGATCCTCTTCAGGCTGCAGATAAAATATACTTCATGCCATGGACTCCATACCGCACTGATACTTTGATAGAATATGCATCTTTAGAGGACTTCCAAAATGGACGCCAACAGACAACGTATAAGCTTCCGAATCGAGTGGATGGTACTGGATTTGTGGTGTATGATGGTGCGGTCTTTTTTAATAAGGAAAGAACCCGAAACATTGTGAAATTTGACTTAAGGACTAGAATTAAGAGTGGAGAAGCTATTATAAATTCTGCCAACTACCATGACACATCCCCTTACAGATGGGGGGGAAAGACTGATATTGATCTGGCAGTGGATGAAAATGGCTTGTGGGTAATTTATGCCACAGAACAAAACAATGGAATGATAGTCATTAGCCAACTCAATCCATATACTCTGCGTTTTGAAGCAACATGGGAAACAACCTACGACAAACGAGCAGCCTCTAATGCTTTTATGATATGCGGGGTGCTTTACGTTGTGCGATCAGTTTACCAAGACAATGAAAGCGAAACTGGTAAAAATGCCATCGACTATATTTACAACACCAGGTTAAGCCGAGGAGAATATGTAGACATTCCTTTCCCCAACATGTATCATTATATTGCTGCTGTGGATTACAATCCAAGAGACAATCAACTGTATGTGTGGAACAACAATTTCATCCTACGATATTCTCTTGAATTTGGTCCACCCGATCCTGCCCAAGGTAGGAATTCTTTCTTTAACTATTTTAAATAAATAAATAAACTGCTTATAAATAAATAAAGTAAACTGCTTAATAAAGTGAAAATCTAATATATTTGGAATTAGAATGAATGCTGCTGTTTTGCCAAAACAAAACAAAAGCAAGATGACATTTTTGCTATAAAATTTACCTATGCCATGCCAAAATAAGGACAATCTTTAATACTAAATACACTATTTCTAATACCATATCTATGTATAATGAGAACTATGTTATCATTGGCACTTTCCTCTCACTTCACAATGAAATATATAAAAAAGCAAGTTAATTGTTTTGTGCTAGCATAAGTATGTGACAGTAAAGCATCTCATGGAGACTGTTTAGTTTTAACATGGACGTTGTGAAGGTTTTCATTTCAGTTTCCATTTTGAGCTCCCAAGGAATGTAATTTAATATTTTTGTTGCAAGTTACTGCATTCTCATATTTCCAATTATGTGGCAAATGCAGAACCAAATATGTATAGGAACCTAAAAAAATAGTATCATTATATAAACTGCCAGAGAGCAGACATTTAGCAAGCTTCATCAGGGAAGAAATATCTCCAATATACTATGGTTCACATATAGATATTAAACACTGAGAATGTTGTTTAGATAAATAATTGGCAAGGGGACACAATAAAAATGTTTTGTTACAGGCTGCTGAAATCCACTAATTTTAAAATATATGTTATGCACAGAAAAACTTGTGGACTTTGCTGTTTTTTGTTTTCATTTTACTTCATATAAATTTTGTTAAATGTTCCTCTTCAACTGTTGATAAACTTTCATCACTTCTATTATATAGAACTGATTGCTTGGTGTACTGTAAATGTAAAAACTATAGGATCAGAAGTGCTATAAAGTAAGATAGGTCTATACACTAAGGTATAAAAATAGTGTAGATGTGTAAAATGCAACTTTGAATAGTGTGTATCTTCATTTCTGAATAGAAAACAGATCATCCTGAGTAGTTAGATCAGGGGATCAAACTCAATTTCATTGAGGGCCCTCTTAAGGTTGTGTTTGACTTCATGGGTAGGCGTCACTGATGTCAGGGGCACCTGTGGCCTGAATGCTCTGTCAGAGAAAATGGGCTCTTGAGTTCTGTTTTAAGCTGGGATGGCTTTCTGCAACCCTCTGCCAAAAACTGAGCTCGGGAGGGCCGCATTTTCACCGGCAGAGGCACCAGCTGGTCCTTCGCTATTTCCAAGGTCCCCCCCCCCCAGGCCAGATCTAAACACCCATAGGCCGGATCTGGCTCATGGGCCTTGTGTTTGACACCCCTTTAGATCAATGCCATCGGTTGAGGAATGAAAGAGGAGAGTGTTTGGGTTAGCCTTGAGCTTAATTTTATCAGAGGTTGTGCTAAGAATTTGAAAAGTTACCTATTCAGTCAGTATTCTATTGAACATACAGGAAAATGTTTAAAGGCTACTCTGCTGAGCTTTTTTAAGGCAATGAAGTAAAACTCATATATCTATATATCTATATCTATCTACATAGAGTTGATAGAGATAGAATAGACTAACAGAGTTGGAAAGGACCTTGGAGGTCTTTTAGTCCAACTGCCTGCTTAGGCAGGAAATGTATATATATGTATACCTATATCATTTCTATATGGTATACATATATATACATAGACACACACACACACACACACACACACACACACACACACACATATACACA